GAATAGATGCAGAAGAAACATGTGACACAATTCAACATCCATTCATAATGTGAACTTTCAATAAAGTGGGTATAAAGGAAACACACCAATATAATAAGGGCCACAAATGACAAACCCACAGCTTAGCATTAATTATAGAATGGTGAAAAGCTGGAAGTTTTTCCTCTGAGATCAGAAATAATACAAGGATGCCCACTCTTGCCACTTTTATTCAACATAGTAATAGAAGCCCTAACCAAAGCAGTTACACAAGAAAAAAAATAACTAAAAGGCTTTCAAATTGGAAAGGAAGAAGTATCTCCATTTGTAGATGACATGATACGCACACACACACACACACATACAATTCAGCCTAAAAAGATCCTACCAAAACATAGTTACCACTAATAAATGAATTCAGTAGAGTTGCAAAATACAAAATCAATATACAAATATCAGTTGGGTTCTTATACACTAACAGTAAACTATCAGAAAGAGAAATTAAGAAAACAGTCTCATTTACATTGCATCAAAAAGAATAAAATATTTAGGAGGTGATAATGAAATACCTTAACCAGGAAGGTGAAGGATCTATATACTGAAACTACAAGAAATTAATGGAAAAATGTGAGGAAACACAAATAAATGAAAAGCTTTCTGTGCTCACGGACCAGAAGAACTAATATTGTTAAAACGTTCATACCATTCAAAGTGATCTACAGATTCAGTGGAATCCCTATCAAATTCCAATGGCATTTTTCACTGGCATAGTACATACTAATCTAAAATTTGAATGGAACCACAGAAGACACTGAAGAGCCAAAGCAACCTGAAGGAATAACAAAGCTGATGGCATCACATTCTCTGATTTCAAACTGTATTAACAAAGAGTAGTAATCAAACAATATGGTACTGGCATCAAAACAGACCCATAGGTCAATGAAACAGAACAGAAAGATCAGAAATCAACCCACAAATACATGGAAAATTATGACAAAGGAGACAAGAATATATACAATGAGAAAGGACAGTCTCTTCGGTAAATGGTGTTGGGAAAACTGGGCAGTTACATGCAAAAAAACCAAAACTGGACCACTATCTTACACCATATATAAAAACTAACTCAAAATAGATTCAACACTTGAATGGGAGACCTGAAAGCACAAAACTCTTCAAAGAAAACATAAGGTGTGAGCTTCCCGACATCAGTCTTGGCAATGATTTTTTGGGTTTGACCAAAAGAGCAAAACAAACAAATGAAACTAAATCAAAATAAAACACTTCTACACAGCAAAAGAAACCATTAACAAAATGAAAAGGCAACCTATAGAATGGGAGAAAATATTTGCAAATCATGTATCTGATGAAGGGTTAATATTCAAAGTATATAAAGAACTCATACAACTCATTAGCAAACAAATAGTCTGATTAAAAATAGGCAGAGGAACTGAATAGATATTTTTCCAAAGAAAACTATATGATGGACAACAGGTACATGAAAAGGTGCTCAACATCACTAAACATCAGGGAAATTCAAATCAAAAGCACAGTAAGATATCACTTCACATCTGTTAGAATGGCTATTATAAAAAGACAAGAAATAACACGCATTGGTGAAGATGTAGAGAAAAGGGAATGCTTGTGCACTGTTGACAGAAGGGAAGGGAGACAACATCTACAGCAGACCCTTATCACTGCTGCTCCTTATTTTCACTTGCATTGTGCTGTCCTATATTTATCACAGTTCCTTTTGAACAGCTTTTTAAGTATTTGGGCAGTTTACATTGCTATCTTCTTCCTCCTGGTTCTCTGCACCCAACTGTCCCACTGTTGGTGGGAATGTAAATCATTTCAGGCAAAATGGAAAACAATATGGAGATTTCTCAAAAATTTAAAAATAGAATTACCATACGATCCAGCAATTCCACATCTGGGTATATATCCAAAGGAAATTAAATCATTATCTTGAAGAGATATCTACCCCCTACCATTGGTCACCAGAAAGACCAAACCATGATTGGAAGCTTGGATTTTTCAGCCCTGCTCTCCATTCTCTTAAGAAGGGAGAAAGGCTGAAAATGAAGTTAATGATTAATCATGCCTATGTGAGGAATTCTCCATAAAATCCCAGTAGTGAGGAGTTCAGAGAGCTTCCAGATGGACCAACACATTCACAACGGAAGGGTGATGCACCCCAACTCCACCTAGACAGAAGGTCCTGTACTCGGGACCTCCCAGACCTCAATCTATGTTTTCTTCATCTGGCTGTTATTCTGTATCCTTTACCATATCCTTTAATAAACTGGTAAATGTAAGTGTTTCCCTCAGATCTGTGAGCCACTCTAGCAAATTAATCAAACCTGAGGAGGGAGTTGTGAGAACCTCTGATTCATAGCCAAACAGAAGTTGTGGATAACCTCCAGACCCACTTCTTGGAATGACATCTGAAGTGTGTGGAGGGATATAGTCTTGTGGGACTTAGCCCTTAACCTGGGATCTGACTCTATCTCCTGGTAGATGTGTCAGAATTGAGTTAAACTGTAGGACACCCAGCTGGTGTTGTGGAGAACTGTTTGGTGTGGGGATAAAATCGCCACACACTTGGTGTCAGAAATGGAATGCCGTGTGAAAGTAAAGGAGACACACAAGAGAAAAACATAGTAGGGAAGACCTGGGTTTTTCATAGTAGGAAAGAAGAAAATTGAGTTCTTTCCTAAAAAGCGAACTTACAAATCAATAAGAGCAAATAAACACCTCAATAGGAACATGAGAAAAGGACACGAAACATGTAGTTCATAGAAGTAAAAACTGAAAAAATAAAAATATATTTAACCTCTAATATAATCAAAGGATGCAAAGAAAAAAAATGAGCTGTTACCTCTTAACCTAAACCATTGGAGAATATTTTTTAAATGACATCATTCAGGGGCACCTGGCTGGCTCAATTGGTAAGGCATGTGACTCTTTATCTCAGGGTTGGGGGTTTGAGCCCACATTGTGTGGAGTTTACTTCAAAAATAATAAAATCTTAACATAAAATAAAATTACATCATTCAATGAGTAGTCTCATTTTTTTTAATGTTTATTTATTTATTTTGAGAGAGAGAGAGAGCACAAGCATGGGCAAGTGGTAGAGAAAGGGTGAAAGAGAGAATCCCAAGCAGGCTCTACACTGTCAGTGCAGAGCCTGACACAGGGCTCCATCCCATGAACCATGACCATGACCTGAGCTGATATCAAGAGTCAGACGCATAACTGATTGAGCCACCCAGGCACCCCGGGCAGTCTCATTTTTGAAGGGGTTGTATGTTGGCCCTAATCATTTCTGGAGAGCAACCTGGAAATAGATAATAAAAAAAAAAATCTTTAATGTTTATTTATTTATTTTGAGAGAGAGAGCACATATGAGTGGGGGAGGGAAAGAGAGAGAGTACAAGCAAGAGAGGGAAAGAGAAAACCCCAAACAGGCTCCCTGCTGTCAGCACAGAGCCAACTTGGGACAAATTCTCACAAACCATGAGGTCATGACGTGAGCCGAAATCAAGAGACACTCAACCAACTAAGCCACCCAGGCACCCCTAGATATCAAAAATTTTCAAATGCACTGTTTTTGATCCAATTTTTTCACTATTAGGTATTTATCCTAAGGATATAATCAGACAATTTTTCAAAAATGTACATATAAGGATTCCCACTGTAATGCTACTGATGAGGTCAAAGCATTCAAAACAGCTTAAATTTAACAAATTAGTTTATTAGCCTTGTTTAAACTCTGGTACATTCATTTCTTTTAATTTTTTTAATGTATATTTATTTTTGAGAGACAGAGACAGAGTGCAAGCAGGAGAGGGGCAGACAGAGGAGACACGGAATTGGAAACAGACTCCAGGCTCTGATCTGTCAGCACAGAGTCCAATGTGGGGCTCGAACTCACCTGCTGTGAGAACATGACCTAAGCTGAAGTCAGATGCTTATAAATTCTGGTACATTCAAAAAATAAATAAATTATGGGGCGCCTGGGTGGCTCACTTGGTTAAGCATCTGACTTCGGCTAAGGTCATGATCTCACAGTTTGTGGGTTCGAGCCCCGCGTCAGGCTCTGTGCTAACAGCAAGGAGCCTGGAGCCTGCTTCAAATTCTGTGTCCCCCTTTCTCTTTGCCCCTCCCCCACTCTCTCTCTCTCTCTCTCTCTCTCTCTCTCTCTCTCAAAAATAAACATTAAAAATAAATACATAAATAATAATAAATAAATAAATTCTGGTACATTCACACAGTGGGAATTTATGCAGGTATTTATGACTGATAGGAAATGCTACATGATATACTGTTAAGTGATTTAAGAAATGCAAGTTTCAAAAATACTGCATACATATTATGATTCCCACCTCTGGTTAGGATTTCAAATGACTTTTTTCCTGATTTCTTTACAGTTTTTTTATATTTTTTATATATGAGTTATCTCTTAAAAACAGATGAGGGGCGCCTGGGTGGCACAGTCGGTTAAGCGTCCGACTTCAGCCAGGTCACGATCTCGAGGTCCGTGAGTTCGAGCCCCGCGTCAGGCTCTGGGCTGATGGCTCAGAGCCTGGAGCCTGTTTCCGATTCTGTGTCTCCCTCTCTCTCTGCCCCTTCCCCGTTCATGCTCTGTCTCTCTCTGTCCCAAACATAAATAAACGTTGAAAAAAAAAAATTAAAAAAAAAAAAAGATGAAACAATAAACGTATTTTCCTTTGAGAAAACAGGTGAGGTGTTACGATGTACCGAGGGACAACACTATCTGTTGGGAACCTTGACTCCTCCTTTGTGATCTCAGAACAGTCTGGTGGAAATAGTGCACACAGAGAGTTCAAACTGCAAGGTAGCCTATATTCCTGATAGAGTTTATTCAACTACACAATAATAGCATTTTATTTACTTTGGTTAGAATATATAAAGCCCAATAACATAGAAAATACAAATAAATTTTCAGAATTTTTTTCCAAATACAATAAACTCATAAACTAACAAAGTAAAATGATTACCTATCTCCCTTTGGTTTTCTTTTTTGTAGTGTCTTCCCTTTGGGTCTTCTTTCGCTTCCTAAACAAGGGCTCCCACCAGGTCCAGTTACCCGTATTGATTCAAGGCCTTTGGAAGATTTTTTAAATGTGAATTCCACTGGTTCTCCTTCTTTTAGGCTTCTAAATCCTTCCATGAATAATTTGCTCTGTAAAGAGCAGGGGAGGGAGACAGAGAGAAAGAGAGATCATGATTATCAATGTTTTATAAATTTTCTCTATGATTTTCAAATTCACAGAGCAAGATATTCACTATTAGCCATTACAAAGTATGAAATCTTTTTTTAAGTTCAATAAAAGTTACACCATTTTAAGGTTTCCTGTTGCAATGCTGGCAATAGGAGATAAACTAAGACCATTTTTTAAGGCAATTTGGTGATACTTACAAAAATTTTAATGTGCATATTCTTTGACCCAGCAATTCCACTTCAAGGACTCTCCTACAGACATACTCACACACAAAGGTTCAAAAACAAAAGAAGAAGACCTATATCAAAATTCACTGCAGCACTGTCTGTTAAAAAAAAATTACAACTACCCTAATGTCCACCAATGGGAAACCAATTTTACAGATTAGAGTGTAGCTATATAATATTATTGAGCCATGAAAAGATCTAAATGTCTCACCATCTGCAACATGGATGGACCTAGAGGGTATTATCCTAAGTGAAGCAAGTCAGACAGAAAAGACAAAACTGTATAATTTCACTTATATGTGCAGTCTAAAAAACCAAACAAATAAAGCAGAAACAGATTCATAAATACATAGAACTGATGGCTGGGGGGAAATGGGTGAAGGGCAGTGGGAGGAACAGGCTTCCAGTTACAAAATACCATAATACCACCTACGTAAAGAAGTTTTTAAAACATGCATGTTTATTTATATAGAGAGGAGGTTCCTTTCTTCAGTTCTTTTTTTCGGAAAGTGGGAAAGCTTGTTGGTATACACATTATTGTACGTTTTTGTTTTTTATAATTTGAAAGGAAATAGATTTTTACAGTTTGAATTATAGTGGATTTTTGTGGAGGGGAAAAAGTTTCCCGACTGCAAAAGTGCAACCTTGGTTACAAATATTAATTGGCTTTTTCGATCTCTTTTCATCAAAGTCAATGTGCCAATTCAAAATAACTAAAAATAATTAAATCATTAGTTTTATGTTTTCAAATGCTTTTGTGTGTATTTTATGGGTCTAATTTGGAATATCATGTAGTTTTCAAAGACTTTTATGAATTTGGGGGCAAAAGGAAGCAAAACTAAGTATGATGGGAGCCCTTGGGTCAAGTCCATTTCTTTAAGTAAACAGCTACACAGCTTTGATAGAGCCATTTCATCTCTTTTCTGTTTATCCGTAAATTTAAGCGATTTGAGTTTCCCCACGTGTATTCTAAGGAACAATGAATGGTTCCAAGAAAGACTCCATGAAAACAGGATTTTGTGGTCAAATAAGTTTGTAAAATGCTCTACCTTGTTTCTCCTTAGATGAATCACATTAGCATATATTAAAGTCTCTGAGATTCCATACCCCTCCTCTCCACTCCCTAAATAAAAATTTTGTTTGACTGTGTTTATTTAACCCAGCAATTTCCTGACTGAATTGATCGCAGAGCCGTTTCTTTATGACTACAGTTGACAAGCACACTTAGGGAAATACCGGACCAGAAAGTCTTTACCCCTCCTGAGTCCATGACTCTAAAGGCAGCTAAATAATTACATACAACCAAACAATTACATGGAACAAATAAAAACAACACTTCAAAATTCAAGGCAAAGGGAGACTATTCATGGTGAAAGTGATAGGACACATGAAAACACGGTTTTTAACCAGTCATCTGATGCTTCAAATTCCTTCATGTGGAAGTCTGCAATTTGGCATCACCTTTATTGCTGTCTGATGTCATGCAGAAGTTAAGGGGGAAAACTCACAACTGCCTACACTCCTTAAAATAACAACAAAAAATTTACTGTTTTTAAAGCTTTATTTAGTATTTTCAAATCTTCCCTTCCCCACCCCCCAAGCTTTCTCCTCACTAATTATAAATAGTTCTTTTGATTTCATTTCCTTTTTCACTCCCCAGTCAAGAAAGTCCAGATTATCAAATCAGATGAAGTGGAGCATACACAGGTCAACTATAGCAATTAAGAGAATGAAGGGACAGCAGTTTTAACTAGAGCTATCGTATGCTCATGTTTTGTTGATGTAATATAAATTCTATCGCTTATTTCCTCACAGTTCTTAGTATGTGGGTGTATTTCACCTTCTATTATTACAATTTTTGATAGGTATCATTTATAAGTGAATTGTTTCTCCAAATTTACAGTAAAATTCTACTCTAGTAGACCACTAAGTTCTGGCTATTCTTCATGGTATTCTTAAAGAATAACTTTTTTAACTCTATCTTACATTACTCCTTCCTAAAATTAGTATATAAGGCAATTTAGACTCATAATAATAGACAAATAATTGACTATCTCCTACCTGGGTAATTGTAATTGTTTCTTCATTGGCATTTCAGCATCAAGTCTCCTCCTTACTCCATAACATCTTCCATATCTACATATTCTCTCAGAATGAATCTTAGCCTATTAGTCTCAAAATTCTACAATACCTCTCCCAGACTGTAGACTGAGACCATCCATAATCTTACCTCTAGTTATACTATATATTGTATGATTCCAATTATATGACTTCATATAAAAGTTAAAACTATGGAGATAGTAAAGAGATCAGTGGTTTCCAGGGATTGGGTGGAGCAGAGGGTGAAGAGAGAGAAATAGGTAGAACACATAGGAATTTTAGGGCAGTGAAAATAGTCCACATGACACCATAACAATGGATAGAGGTCATTACACATTTGACCAAACCCACAGAACACCAAGAGTGAACCATAATATAAACATATAGACTTTGGGGTAATTATGATGGATTATTGGTTCATCGATTGCAACAAATATACCACTCTACCACAGGATGTTGATAATGGGTCTCAACCCCCACCCCAACCCCAGCTCCAAGAGGAGGGAGACAGAATCCAAAGTAGGCTCCAGGCCCTGAGCTGTCAGCACAGAGGCTGACGCGGGGCTCAAACTCATGAACCGCGAGATCACAACCTGAGCCAGAGTCAGACACTTAACCGACTGAGCCACTGATGCACCCCTAGAGATTGAGTTTAATTGCCAATCTTCAATATAAGTTTTGTAAGTCAATGTAGGTTTTGTAATGAAACTTCCATAAAACCCAAAAAGGTGAGGTTTGGAGAGCTTCTAAGTTGGTAAACATGTGGAGATACTGCAGAATCACGTGCCTAGAAGGGCATGGGAGCTCTGTGCCCTTCCCACATATCTTGCCTTATGCATCTCTTCCACCTGGCTATTCCTAGGTTATATCCTTTTATAATAAAGCAGTGACCTAGTAAACAAAATGTTTCTCTGTGTTCTGGATGTAGCTCTAGCAAATTACTCAAACCCATGGAGAAGGTTGTTGGAACCTCGAATCTATAGCCATTAGGTCAGAAGCACATGTGACAAGGTGGGACTTACAAGTAATGTCTGAAGCGGGGTGATGGGGAGCAGTCTTGTACTAAGCCTGTGGGATCTGTACTTAACCTGTAGGATCTGATAATAATTCCAGGCAGATAGTGTCAGAAATGAGTGGAACTGTAGAATACTTAGCTGGTATTGGAGAATTGTTTGGTGGTATGAGAAAAAAATCCACAAATTTGCATTGGAGTCAGTATCCTCTGGACTTTGGTAGAAAGCACAGTACTACAAACTCAGAGACAAAGGATGTTTTTTATTCAGAGCAGTAGTAGAAACAGGTAATCAGCATTTTTTGTGCTGGTTCCACAAGCCCTTATTCCCACAGGGTGATAGGAATAAGGTCAAATGAAACCTACACACAGTGTGTTGCATTACAAGAGGGGAACACTGACCTTAGGGAAGCTGAATTTTTCATAATGGGCAGTAAGTATGCTTGCCCTTTACTCTGCAAGGAAACACTATCTCTGTGTTCCAGGGTTGTTTGCTATACAAACATCCTTGAAAAGGTAGCCCAGAACAAAGGAAAGCCATTGCCTCACTCACAAGACATGCAGCAATCTGAGAGAATTAGGGAAAATTGTCTTCCAACAATACTGAGTGAAAGCAGCTTTATACAAAAAGAGTACAGACCGTGTATTCCATTTGTTTGAATTTCTAGAACACACCAATCTAACCTATGGTAGGAAAACATTAGAATAGTTGTTGCATGGGGGTAGGTGTGTAGACTGAGGTGAGACATGCAGGAATCTTACTGGAATGATAATATTCAAGGTCTTGAGAGTGGTTCAGATTACAAAAGTGGAGACATTGTTAAAGTTACTGAAAGGTGCACTTACAATTTGTGCATTTCATCATCTATCAATTTTACCTCAAAAAAAGATATTGAATTCTAGTTAATGATATGCATGCTGAAGGATTTAAGGAGGGAGTGTATTGATATCTGTAACTTCTTTGGAAATGCATCAAAAGAAATGGATTAATGGATCCACAGAGAGAGAACCGGGCAAAGTAATGTGAAAAAACAAGCATAGGAAAATTATTATACAATCTAGATATTGAATATAATGGTGTTCACTGTTAAAATTCTATCAACTTCTTTGCATGTTTCAAATTTTTCATTTAAAAATATTGTAAAAATATATCTTTGACAGAGAGACACTATGGGTAAGAGATATCTTGGCATACTTACATTTTTTAAAAAAGTAATAAACTGAAATTGAAGTTATCATTATTTATAAAAGTATCTATCTAGTAAAGACCAATGTGTATATGGCACTATATTGGACATTACCAACAAATCTCAAAAACTTAAATGTGCTAGTAACTTACAATCAGACATTTTATATTACTTATATAATTGGAAAGGAGGGAAAAGGTGAATGGTGGAGGAGCAGACAGAAAGACAGAGAGTTAAATAAGAAGTAATAAATGAACATGAATGGAATTAAGAAAAATGAATAAAGTTCTTATATTCATCTACAAAGAGAATCTGCAGAATTAATTTCAGACTGTATACTCTGGACTGCTGGGACGATGCTTGAATTAGGCAGCAGGCAGGTGATTTAGAGAACATATGGGAGCAGAGATCATGAAACTAAAGCAGCAATTGAT